TTTTTGAAGTGTTATACCGGAAATATCAGCACAATTATCTTTACCATAAGTGCGTTATTGTTTTTGGAACAATAGTCTGTGAAAGTCTCAGTAGCCTACCCCAGCAGTATCCTGTCAACAGCAACGTTAGTGGAAGAAGCAATCAGAAGTTTCCATGGAGCTGGCCTTGGACTCTCCGTAGCTTCACTGCTTTCAAAGAGCTCTACTAGGAACAAGATCACAACAGACAGCAGATAGCTCTTCCCAGCTCCAAAAACACCTGGTATTTTGGAAGAAAAAGCCAAAGTTACCAGTGAAATTTTTCTAGAAAGTACAGTTTTAGTCAATTGGTATAACAAAAGTTTATCTTATCAAATATTATGCTGTGATTCCTGTAAAAGCATTGCATGTGCTTGCTGCAGCAGCTCTAAGTATCCCGGGGCAACCAGTTGCGTTACACTTTGCATTTACTGCCTGCCGTAAATTTACAAAAAAAAAACTACAGAAGGGAAGCTAAGGTCTTTTTCCTAAATTTTCTGGTCGAAAACGTGCATTACTTGCTAAGGAGTCTCATCAATACATTAAAATAATACAAACACAAGTGTCTGCATGCACACCCCTCATACCATGTCCTCGGGTACAGATTAAGGAATTTGAGACATGATTATTGTGGAATGACTTAATAATTCTACCTAGATTAATATGCCTGGCAGCCTAACAAAAGCTCGGGCTAAGAAGTTAGTAGCCTTTTGGTACATGTTGAAAAGGGATGAATCAAAGATAGAAGGAAGTAAAACAGCGAGGAATAAAAATGTGTATGATAATTTAGCAAAGCTGATACCTGACAAAAAGTGCTTTTAATGTGAAAAGAAATAAGCAGAAGACAGTAAATAACTCTGATCTCACGTATGGATCTTGCTAGGAAAGAACTCTGTACTGATGTTAAGAGCCTGCAAAAGGCAGAATGCAAATTCAAAGATTAAAAGCTCTGTGCTGATGGAATGGATGTGCTAATGTCAAGGTCATTATCAGAGGGGCCTCATCCAAGAAAGGAATTTTCAGGAAACGTGTGAAGTAGGTGAGGACAGCAGCGTCACAAGAGAGTTTAAAAGGATATTCCGTACACAGAGGCAGTTTATTCAAGCTCATCTTTTGCGCTACATTTAAAACAAGTCGACATTTACCTAGACATAAGAATCTCCCTTTAAGTCTGCCTGGAACTGCGAGTACATGATTAAGGAAACAAGTCTACTGTTCCATCACTGAGAGAAACGAGTGATATTTCACTAACACTGGCATTACATATTAATTAGCATTTTTGCAAAGATGCAACAGCAACAAATCCCACAGTTATTTGCTATATACCACGTATGATTGTGATAGGGAAGATGTGATGTTCATCCACTGGTTTGGTATTTTCACGTGAGGTCATCATCCGAGCTATCTGAATCAGTGATGCAGCTTGATCTGGGTTCAACGAGAAGGTTTGGATCATCTTCTTAGCCAGTCCCATTGCCACTTCAGTGCTGACAGGCCCACACATCATTGTGCGTTTCAGGCTGATGGCAGGTGGAATAAATTTCCTTTTGTTGACTCTCTTAGTAGCGCTTTCAGAATCAAAATTCCTAAGAAAAATACAACCGTCAAAAGTTGCGGTATAATACTGCGTATGTATAATTTGTATCTCGTGGTTCTGATATTCTCACTCACCTGACCGTGAAATTCTGAGGATTTATGATTAGCAGCTGACATAATTCAAAGTTGCTGCCCCCTGCACCCTGACATACACCTGCGCTGTATTTTCCTGCCCCTTATTATTTTTCTGGCTGAAAGCTGGATCATATGAAACAGGCTTTTGGGTTTTATCATTCTTCCTATATGTTAACGCTTTCAATCTGACATAGTTGAAGGCTGCGAGACTGGCAGAATAAGGAGTGGTGGAAGAATGCAGCCAGAGGTAGGAAGGATTCATTTAATTACTTGTTTTATGCAGTGAATCATAAGCAGTCTTGGAAATATCCCTATATTGCTCCGATTCTCCAAGAAAATACTTTATTTTTAGGTTTTGTGTCAAGGGAATCTAAAAGTTGGGAAGGAAATGCAATTCCGCTGAACCCCTGTGAAGCATATGCATTAACACAGATCAGTCGGTGACTGTACTGTCAGCCTAATGGTCATAATAATGCTCAGTATTAATCGCTAGGATGTAAAACATGGGCTGCAGGTCAGCTTTAAGGAAAAAAACCCAAAAACCAACTTAGATTCCCAGAGTTAGAAGTTAAGCAACGGCTATAGTTTCATTTCCACATAAGTGAAAAATTGCATTGTCAACAGTTCATTCCTTGCACTGTTTTCTGACTTTAGTTTTCCTCATCCCCGTTTTATTAGGGCAAACTCAATGGTATTTGTGTTGGGTTTTTTTTTCTGTACCTTTTGACGTATTGTACGCTCACAGTATCACTCAAAGAGTAACTTACATTTTTAGTAGATGCGGTATTAGTGGTAACGTAGATGGATTGAAGTGCTCCTCCATATTTCTTAAAGATGTAAGCTCGCCACTAGCGTTACAAACCAGCAAGGCATGAACAAACACTGGAGAGGCCACAGAAAAATAAAATTAGGAAAAATTTCAAATCAGCTAGATAAATGAATTACAAAATGCCCAAAGAGCAATTAGCCTCCTGTAACAGAAACCAAGTCAACCCAATTACCACGTCTGACTGAATTTTGTAGATGAGGAGAGACCTATTAGCCCTTCTTTTCAAAGTGCGTCATTTGAAGTATTTGTGATTCCAACATTAGGAACCCTCTGGAAAGGAATCTTTGATAAAAATCCTTACTGCTTTTAGAAACACTCGGGATATTTAGAAGGCTTGGGAGTTTAGGAGGTGAATTTTCTAAGTAAACCGTCTCTATCACAATAGCTAAGCAGATGTTTTCTTAAAAAAGGCAAGACGGGAACAGAAGAGCACCTCCCGTGGGCCACGCTCAACTTCCATCTAGCCCATTTCTAAAGCGTACAAAACCGGATGCCTAGAGGGGAGTATAAGAACAGAACAAGTATTCGATTATATTTTTCTAATTCACTGCCGGTTTCCTAAGGTTCTGTGGCTCAGGGTTTGCCTAAGTAACAGTTTTTAACATGCTTAGTAACCCACGTATCTCTATTTTGCTGCTGTTTATTACTGCCATCAACTATACATTCCCGAAAGCTTGATTTTCATACAACTTAGGGGTTCAGTTTTGTAATGGTTATAGAATTATGAAATAATTCATATTTATGATCACAAAGAAAGTCAGGACCAAAAATTTCCTAAGAAAAACTAAAATGCCGTGATGGAAAGGCATTAAGATTGAAAAGCTATTGCCGGACAGATCCGGCCCCGCAATTCACACTCAGGGAACAAACCAAACCGAACCTCTAATTGCATTTGAAGCCCGTGCCTTTCCTGTTTTGCTTTGCGTGCTGTTGTAAATTTTTTTTCCTGTATTTTTTCATCTTCTGAATGTAATTCAGAACAGGAGTTTAATGTAGGTTCACCCCATTGTGCTTTGCTGGAACCCTCTCCCTAATGATTACACAGAAAGCCTAAAAAGACTAATTTGTTCACTTAAACCACTCTATTTACCTACTCAGTTAAGTGCTATGAATAAAGCCTTTTGGGATCAAGCACACAATTTTCGTATTGCATTAACAGAAAGCAGACTAATTTCTTAACTTAAACCACTCTATTTACCTACTCACAGTTAAGTGCTATGAATAAAGCCTTTTGGGATCAAGCACACAATTTTCGTATTGCATTAACAGAAAGCAAGCAGAGGTATATTATTACCAGCTCCAGAATGACTACCTCATGCATTCTTAATCTCTTTCTTTTACAAAAAACCCAAAACAAACCCAAAACTTTAGCTGAATTCAACAGCAAAAATAAGAAGCGTGTGCATCATGTTTGGCAGCACGTGTCATTTTTTTGTGACATCTATAGCAGACCCACACTGTTTCTCTGCGCTTCAGGGTCACTAACCTTACTGTGTCCAAAACACTCAGGACAAAATATTATTTGATTTGAGACAACTAAAATGTTAAAACCAAAAAGGATGGCTGCAACTTAGTTGGGAGCAGCTTGCTAAAGAATATAAAGGTCAGCGGTTCATTACAAAACATCAGTGCTAGGTTTAGGTTTAGGAATATTTTCTTTTTAAAATAGACGAAAATAACTAGAACTAGACAGATTTGGGTTTTTCTAAGTTTTGAAATACTAATTTTTTAGTCGTTCTAGACTGTAGCAACAAAGGCACAGAAAGGAACGACGGGACAGCCAATTCACAGATTTAATACGTGGCTTCTTATACAAATATAAATTTTCCATCTGTAGCGGGTTGTTCGGGGTTTCTGTCTGTTTTTCAAGGACAGTAACGACATATTCCTGTTACCTACACTCTGACAGTCAATTTGCATTCTATATTATATTATTTACTACATTATCCTCATTTCTTCATTACCCATTTAGGATTTCTTACCAGCTGCTTTGCAGGTTTATTTGCATTAAGTACTGGATTCAAATTACACATTCAAAGACACAAGGGAAAAAAATACTGTGAATATAATAATGATTTGATTTGAGAATTTCCAATCTCATCCTTCATGGCTGGGCAAATTTTTCCCCTCAATAATTGTTTCTCCCAATTCTGAATTATTTGGTGTAGAACTCACTATTTGATCGCCAGTTTGAGGGACAGTAGCCTTTCAGTGGTAGTAATTCTACTTCGTTATTAGAGGACGGTCCAAAGAAAGCACTACTTGCAATGAAAGTATCAAGGGGATCAAAGTTCAGAGTCTTCGAAACAACCCAAATATCATCTGTCAAAAAAAAAATACAGAGTTCTCATCAGCTTCTTTGACTGCTGTCTTTTAAAGAAAATTAAGCCGGACCAAACAGCTCAGCAGTTACTATGCTGCAAATTAAACCATCGCTAACGTGAAAGCAGGGGGTATTAGAAAGTTCTAAATAAGTGTTAGTTCAGTTCTAGAAAAATGAATACATAATTGACAATTCTTCTAGTACTTACTGTCTGAAATTGATGGCGACTCTGAAGTTCTCTCCTGGTGCACCTAGCAGCGTTTGACTTCTGGCAAATCTAAAGTGCTATCAATTCTGGGAGCATTTGGAACAAATCACTGAAGGATACTACAAATGTAGTTAACCGCGCTCTTGCCAAAGAATAGCAAGCACTGAAATAAACGTACCTTTTCCCTTCCCTTCCAAAACCAACAATACTGGAGCACGCAAATGTTCTGGTTTCTTCACAGAAAGAATGTACTTAATGCACACCTGATGAGACTAAAGCTCCCTACGCTATTCCTCTAACATATATTACAGAGCACAGCAAGGGAGATTTCAAAGTTAGGAGCAATACCGGTGCATATATATTTGCCCGTAACAAAAACGATCAAAAATTATCATACGCAAGTCAAACTTTTGCCCATGCAGAGCTTCAGAATACCGGGCTTTCCTCATACTTCACAATTCACAGATTTAATACACTCCAAACCCAAGGACGTAGAATTTATATTTTTCTAAGGTAGGTGAACACTTACAAGAACAGATGAATTAATGAGATAATTCAGTTCTCATTCTAGAAGGGCGAGAAGCATCAGGGTTGTCAGGAGTTTAAAAACAGGATTCAGTTTTTCTCTTCAGATTACAAATTAAAAAGGCACAACATGACATGGACAATTGTGCTGATGCTTAAGATTTGCTTACCTTTGCTATAGAGAGAATAATGCTCCTTTCTGCTTAGTTTGAGGTATAATTTGTTTTTGGAATCGCCATCAAATCTGGCAGGTGTATTCATAAATTTCTTGAACTTATTACATCGCTGTGTTTGCATTTCAAAGGCTTTCCTGTTAAATTGTAGTTTTAAGAAAAAGTATGTGAAAAATTTTGGACTCACCACCAAAAATAAGAAAGCTCCACACACTGGTCCAAATTATACAGTGCAGATCTTGGTTGTTCATCATCTTACGTTACCAAGTTTTAAATACATTTATCTTGACTGCAAAATACTTCCGTAATGTTCAGCCATAACTGAATTGCTTCCCCTACAGTTAAGCAGCTCGGAATAGCCTTCGATACAACTTCTATCATTAAAATGAGAATCACTAAGAGAATAATGATCAAATGAACAGGAATTCAAATGCAACAACGATAAGGGATTTCATTAAGCAATTGATCACACTGCTGGTAAGCAGTTTGGATTCTTGCTGAAAAGAGCGCTGACCTGAAATGCCATTGCTGCGAATATTATTCCTTCACAAATTTGGCTTTTACATTTCTACACAGAACTGTAGCCTCTTTAGACATAGTTAGCGAAAGTGTCTGCTAAATGCTCCTGAAATCCAGAGCTACTGGAATATTTATAAATCCTGCAATTCACGTAGCACTTGTAAAAAGCGCACAGCGTTTCAGAATACCTCACCAAAAGCTGGCATCCCTCATAGAGACAAATCTTTTGACTTCTGAGGTACATCCCAATACTTTTTATATCATGAAGCGCTATGCTAGGTCTGGATTTTATCTGTGCGGGGTTCACATCTTCTATCCACTTGAAAAACGAACACTGCTCAGCTTTTGGGGCGTCACAGGTGTAGAACCAACGTCCCTGAGAAGGGAGGGGAAAAAAAAAATAATACAAGACCATTAGCACATTAAAACAAAGAAAAAAATTATAAAGCAATGGACCGCTCTCAGAACTCTCAGCTTCTGAAGCCAGCGTGCATAATCATACCTTACAGAAATCCTATATAACCTAGAAAATTATAAATTCAGGTCTTTCTCTATATAAAGCTGTTTCTATATGGAGAAAACTATTACATCAGCAAGTCTGGACACTAGCAGACACTACAACTGATCTTAAAAGTGATCTCTGTAACACATCGCTTTAACCTGCAGTTGTAAATCACACAGAACTGCTCTGTAATTGTTCACACAATACAGTCTATACGCCAAAGGAACACCCCAAACTGTAAACCAACAAGGAATAAACAGCACCTTGTTTTGACCTTCTTTTTTAACCATAACCAGCTTAGCAGGATGCATGTGATTGCAGAGTGGAAGGCAGCTTGCTTTGCTCTCGCCGTGCCCATCTTTCAATGACGCGTAAAATGATATGTCCGCTTTTGAAAGAGCACTGTGCAGTCTCTGTGACAACTCAAATAGCACTATGTTTAATTGCTCTTGACGTAGAAAGGAGAATAAAAGAATAATTAGTACGGCCTTAAAAAGGTTACACAAGCACGTGCAAACAAATACATTTTCATTTGAAACTTTCAATCCCAAATCTAAATCAAAGCATTTAATCTGAGTCCTAAAAGGAACGTGACCTGCAAAATTCACATATTGCACATGCCATTAATTTGTTCTAACTGCTTTACTTTCCTTCAAATCACATTTAAGCATATGACTCCAAACAATCCAAACATTAAATAACTGTTAGATAGGAATCTAAAGACTGGTAAACAGGCACAAGGTTACACTGTTGAACAGAAGCCTACTGGTCTTTTGGTTTGTCTTTGCAATTTTGGGTATAGACTGACTATATTTCAGTACATATATCCCAAACCAGTTGTTCCAATAGATGACGTTGATGACCCCTCTCCCTCTCACCCTGCTTTGTGAAGCTTCAGAAATGGACTGTTTAAAAATGACAGCATTTTACATAGCACGGTGTTAGACGTACCTGTCAGAGCAGCTTTAAAAATCTGTTTGTACTGAACGTGAGACTGAAACACAGTTGGTATGAAAACCTTTCTTTTAGGAAGATTAGCGTACTTTACTTTATCCACGTTAGGAAAAGACAACTCGGAAATCATTATGTCCTAAAAAACACAGAAAAATAAACCTTCAAAACTTGCAAAACCCAGAAGGAGACAAATTTTGATAAATGGCTACTGTACTTCTCTCTTTCCTTTTTTGCTTTTATATATTCATAGAATCATAGAATCATTAAGGTTGGAAGAGACCTCCAAGATCATCAAGTCCAGCCGTCAATTTGTATATTGTGCTCTCATTAGTAAGTACAACTAAACAGAAAAAATTCAGGGTCTCATTCTGCCACCAGAAGTTTCAACATGAAGACCGTCAATGAAGAATCAGTTTTCCAAAAGCAAAACACAAATCCCCTTCGCCACAAACTTTTGCAGCCTTTGTTAACTGTAAGTCCAGGAGCATGCGTTCAGTAGGACTGCCAACAGGAGTAAAATTAAGTACACCCAGAGCTACAGCGTAGAGCTTGGACTGTCGTTTAGGATGTACCATGACGTTATCATTTGCCCCTTGACAAACAGCCTGCGTTTATAATAATAATTGCAAAGGCTTTAGAGTAAATTACATAATTAAGAGTCATGTTTTAAGCCCTAGACGTGGGGAAGCAGCACACAAACCCCATTTTTAACACCATTTCTGCACAGAAATAAATCCATCAGGTGAAATGATAGCTAAGGTAGTACAAGGCCAGGGAAGGAAGAATCAGACTAGGGAGCTTTGGGGGAAGCGTGCATACCACAAGCTGTCCCTGTGCCTGCCATCCCAGCTTCTTCCACCTAGCTACACTCCAGAGAGCATCGTAATAAGCCTCTTCATAAGCTTTTTAAAATCCAATATATATGGATTTTTTATATATATATATAAACACAGTATGGATACCAGTGTGTCCATGAAATATCCAAGTTATTTCCACACCTCTATCTCGCATGAATATTTCACTGTACGCAGTTTTAAAGAACTGGAAAACACAGCATACTAAGTTTGTGTCAAAAAAAAAAAAAACCCCCACAAAAAAAAGTAGTCTAACATTTTCATTAACTTTCAAACACAGGCATTTGGCAACTTTTAGAACTTGACTTGTAGTCGGTTTGGGTTTTTTTTCCAGTTTAGTCCATTTGTTTGAGAGAGTCCACTGGTCACAAACAGCTGCTCTAATTTTTTAGGTGCTTATTCAATGCCATAACTTTTCCACAATTAAAACCGAAGAAATTTAAAATATTTTAAAGTCAGAGACTACACTTGGAAGCAAGATATGGGTGTTCATTAAAAGGATGCTGATTTCACAATTAAGAAAAACGATTCTTGGTCCCACAGCTTTTATTTCATCTTCCTGCCATCAACATCCAGATTAAGAATCTAAATCTGGCACTGTGCGCGCCAAGGTATTACCTTTACAAAAGATTAGTCACCTTTAAAAAATACATTAGCAGCTGCTGTTCTGTAGCTGAGACTCTTTTGTGTAACTACGTACGTAGAAACATTTCATCCAATCGTGCCGATAATATCTTGCAGGAAATCAGATAAATGCAGTTACTTTGTCCGGAAAAATGCATTTCTGTCACTTCTAACTATATTTGCTTGAACGGTTACACACCTGGCCGTCTCCTGTTACAGTGTGGCAGCTCAGATGACTTAACACCTTTTGTGTTGCTTCAGCCAAAGGTGTCTGACTTAAGTGCAGAGCATGCAACTTCCTCTCTGAAATCAAATCTTGGTCGCTGGTATTTGCCCGGCATTTACCAAGCACGCTCTTTGCTGTCAGAAGAGGTGCGGAGCCGGGAGCACTTTTATTCACAGCTCTGCTCTCTCCTGTGTCACCCAGGGGCATTCCAAGGACGTTCTCAGCACAGATGTCATCAGTCACTTCCCTATCGTCGCTGTTTTGAGTTATCAAGTCACACCGAGCACTGTTTTGATATTTTAGCCACTTGCTTTGTCTATATTGCGAAGTCACATTAGGGAACGCTGGTTGGACAGATTCCCTTTGTCCGTCTTCTGTATACTCTCCAAACACAGAGGTTTCATAATTTCTGCCCTCAGGGCCAAAAGCACTAATAGGAAATACCACCGACTTGTTACATAAATTGACTACTGAAGAGCCGAAAGACTGCTGGACCTCCTCGCTGTCAGTCGGATAAACCGCGTCAGGAATCTTCTCGGTGGCAGGAAGGGTGACAAACGGAGTTCGTGTTTCAACGGTGGGTCTGCATCTCGAGAGGTTGCATTCCTCTGGACAGCTGGATTTCTCCCGTGCTGTAGGACAAACACATCTTACAAGCAACTTGTGGCACTTACGGATGGCACATTAACTTCAGGTGTACAAAAACCTTAAGATAAGGAAAGAATGCTAAGGTCTTCCTTTTACATCCTGTCTTCTAATTGGCAAGCTCTTTGTATCATGCGTGTGTAGTACCACACTCAATTTCCCTATGACATGAGTGATTTCAGCTGTGATTCTTTTAATACTTAAATCTCTACGTTCAGAACACATTTCTGCTCTAGGCACTCAACTTGTATAAAAGAAAACGTTTGGTCGAAATGATTTAAACATTATTCTGTTTTGGAGGTCATTAATGTGATACTCTCGGTAGGTCAATGACAGCTGCCAGTTGGGAAACAGCTTAACATTTGCTCCTTTTTCCAAAAGGATCACCCACAAACCCATGTAAATTAATATTAACCGATGTAGATAATAAATAGGCTTCTAGTACCACAAGATCCTTTTGACTAAATTCACTATCAATTACAAATAGCGGTCATTGATAAGTGTCGACTAGAAGCGGGTCAGAGGACAGCTGAATATGGAGGAAAACTGAAAGGAAGTAAATAAATTAAATTAAAATATTAGTACGAATTAGAAGCTTAGCTTATGGCCTTTCCCTCGCCCCAACTAGAAGCTGATTTTTCTTCATAAAATTATATCACTCTTCTGAAGTCTCTTTAAGGAGAATAGAATTGAGGCAGAGAGGAATGGAATTCAAGGGTAATTCAGCCGGTTTGGAACACACCGTTTAAAATCCTGCTTAAAAAAACTAACAAACCTCCTCTGAAAAACGTGTGACAAACACAAATCAAACTCTGCAGTTACTCAGACACATCTCAGTGTATTTCAGCGCCCAGGGTAACTGTCTTTTATAGTGCAATTCTCTGTGCTTCAAAAATCCTCAAAGATTTTCTAGCAAAAATATTTGTAAAGTGCAATTATAAACTAGAACTTCTTACTGAAAAAAATTTCTGAAAGTTCTGGTTCACTTGGCAAGATGCTGTGTATCAGGGGCTCCTGGATCTCTCCAATAGGTTCCTCACTTCCTGAAGCTGGAGAAATTGGAGAGTCTGGATCAAGTGAGGAAGTCAGTTCTACTGGTGAAATCGTCTACAGATGAAGAAGTAACATGTCAAATGAATGACTGCAAAAAAAGACTTGATTATAGCTCCTTGGTCACTATTCTCTCTCTCATCATTTTGAGCAATTAAAGCGTCTCTCCGAGTTGAGATAAAACAGTTTCAAAAATAAGAAATTGCTACCACGAACACACAAGGAAATAAAGCCTAGAAGAGACAGTCGATTCCCACCTTGCCAGGTTCCCATGGAGTCCACCGCGTTTGTCTCAAATCAGAAGGTGAAGGTGAACCTGACATTGTCCGTGGTGGAACTTCAGAATACACGTTCAATGCCAGTGCTAGGAAAAATACGCGAAGGACACAAGTCATGCGGAACAATTGTTCTGAGGCCAGTTGCTGCCATTCTACTTTTATTTTCACTTACGGGACTGATCTATTCTTGAGTCTTTAATAATGTTAGACTTCTTTTGAAAATTCTCTTCTTTGATAAAGCTGATGTCATCCTCATGAAGAGTTCTTGAACCAGGAGACTTTACCAAAAAAGTATAAGCAAAAACTCATTAGTAATGACACTGTTTATCCTCTATATGAATATTATCTTTGTGTGAACCTCACTTCTAAATATCTTATTTCTAAATATTATTTCTATATATAATTCTTCAGTCTCTCTAGCCCATTCTGGAAGTAAGAAATGAAATATCAATTTTCTTCCATTATTTTAAATGCTGAAATATATACTGCATTAGAAAAAAAATAAATTAACGTTGCATGCCATGTTTCTTAGCATCCAGGAGGAGCAGAATCATAATCCAAGAAAGTTTTAACCCTTGCTTTGGAACTCTCTAACAATTATATACCAAATTTCAAATCCAGTTGAGGTGAACATTCCACTCCTAACACCAGGAAACAATCATTATAAAAGCCCTCTGCCACTTTTCACTAGAAGAAATCTGTTTAATATCATACATTATGACCATCAAGCTTTTTTCAAAGTGTAACTGATCAGAGGGGAAAAAAAGAAGTTACATCTTGCAAATGCATACTCCTGTGACCAAAGTGAGTTAAAATAATTGTCTAACTGAAAAGTTGTAACCACAAAGCACTACGTTCAGTTCTTAGTGATTTTGATACCATCGTAGTATTCTAAAAAAGAATGCTCTTTTATCCTGCATTTACAGGATGCTTACTTGCACTACGGCTAGCAAGAATAACTTTGACAAAATTGTTTTACCTGTCTAAAGTCAGAAAGGACATAGTTGCTTGAAAACAGGGGTGACAAAAATCTCTTGGCTGCAAACTCCATGTTATCTGGGTACTGCTGCCATCCTAGCTGTGAGCAGGGAGCTCTCACCATTATCTCACTGGCTGCCGATCCCTTCACTTGGTGCCCTTGAAAGGCAACAGGCTACGCGATAGAGGGGAATTATCGTTAACTGAAAATAAGTACTGTTCTGGAACTATCTACAGTCAAAAAAGGTACTTTTCATACATAGAACAAAAATAATCTGTTGCAAATGGCAGAAGAGAACAAAAAATCTCCTCTTTTCCTTGCAGTCCTACAACTCTATATTGCAAATAGTAAACCACTGAATTGAAATTTCAGAAACGCTGTTCATTACACTGCAATTCCGCAGGCCTTGTACCTTCGGTTGGCAGGCAGACGTCCTCGGGTCTCTTTGAGCCGCTGCTATCGGTACGATACATGCCTCTGTTTTCTGTAATAAATTGTCTACACAGTTGGGCTGCATATCAAAGTATCAAAAGCTAATTAGTCTAACAATTTCATAACCATTTAAAGTGAAAAGTTAAGCTAAGAAATCTCTTGTATTTATACGAGAGAAAGCATTTTAAATTACAGGCTTTTTATTTGGAAGCCAGAACAATCTATGATAGGATAAGAAACTATGTTTGTTTTTCAAATGGGACAGGAAAAAGAGAAGAATTTAATCTCAAATCTTTCTTTCACTTTGGACGGATTGAAAGAAAAAGACTATTAATAGCACGGGACAAAAATCAACGTGAAGCATCAAGCTCAAATAGATTTGCCAGGATATTTCAACCTAAGTGCTAAAATTCCTCGGAAAGCCAGGCATTCAAAAAGACAGCGAAAGAAAAGAAAAAATAGATGGTAAAAGAAGATGAGGTAGGGAAGGAGAAGTACCAGCCATACCAATGTGATATTAAACATAACTAAATATGACAATTTGCATTAAGTTCCTTGTCATATAGTAGGCCTCCTGAACATTTATTGGCAGTAATGTCTGCAAGAGGACATCTCCTGTTTGCTATCAGCTGCTTAGTCGATGCCTCTGAGCAATTTCTAGCTCGGCCTCTATCCTTTCATAAACCAAGAATTTTACTCAAGAAGCCTGGCAGAAAATGAATTTATTTTGTACATATAGATGTATGTAGTCAAAAATTGGTTACCATAAGGCCAGGAGAATCAAAGTATGAACAGGAAGATGCCTGCATACTTTCTGAGTAAGGCATTTCTGTAAACTCTTTTATAGCTACAAGAGATGGAAAAGCATAATAAGTTACAGTTAGAGTATTCTTTTTACAAGGAAACACCTCAGTATTTACCGGGCTTACAAACTTTACCCACGCAAATAATTGCAGAATTTAACTGAACTAAAGCAAACAAAGCCACAGACTCGGAGCCCGCACCCTTGCTTTAAACACTAAAAATTGCATGAGGGAACCTTCCTAACACACCACTCCGAAAGTATGATTTCTGAATATGAATTGTCCAGCAGGACAGTTAAGAGCACAGAAGTCAAATAGGTACAGTCATACAGAATTGACTTTAAAATAGAAGCTGACCTAACCTTCATCTTTCACAAGGGGTTCAAATATCTCTTTAGAAGTCTCTGCTTCATATAACACGCTATTATTTTCCTCCATCTTTTGTAAGCTTTCTAATGCTGTGCTATGTTGAGTCAAAGCTCTTACAAGAGCGATATTGTTTACCCAGTCAGGAAGATCTGAGGAATTTCCAGCCATTGCCGTGCATTCCAGGCAATCCATTCCCATTCTTTCACCTCTGCAGCCTTCACGTAAGGCATTTTCGCTCTCTACGTTTTCAAACTCGGTTTCACCTATCGCTGTTTCCTCTGGAGGTGAATGGCCTTGTCCTGAAGAATAGACAGAACTTTTGGAAATGAGAGTATCGTCCTTATGTGAAATGCCAAATACCTTTTGATTATCCTCTGCGATATATTGGAACGAGCCATAGCTAGGATCTGATTGTCGTGACAAAGCCAGCAAAGGACTACCTGGTTTAAAGTCATCATTCTTAGTACCCCAGAAGTGTTCTAAATCAGCACCTGGGGGTTTCACGCATCCAAGCTGTATAACATCATCTTCGGTCCTTTTGTCCGTTGCAGAAATTATTCTGCTGGTAGAAATACATGAAATACTTCCAGTTTCCTCAAACATACTGGTTTTAGAGTGACATTCATTAACATTTGTGTCACCAGGCAAAAGATCAGAGTGCTTGTTTTTTATCCATGACATGCCATTAATGGTACGTGCTGCACAGCCATCAAGATCCTTACTGTTTGTGGCTTCAATGCTTAATTGACTTTCATTAATCTCTTCTACGTCGTGTCCGTCACCCAAAAGTTCCGCTTCAGTTCTGGTCTGGTTTGCAGAGTCTTCTGCAATTCTCCCTGCATCTCTGGCATTGTTGTCACCAAGCTGAGGTGCTATACCCTCAGCGCTGTGATTTCCATCATTCTCTCTGTCAAACGTTGCACATTTGACTCGTTTGTCTTTACCGTGGCCCACGAGTTCGCAGCAGGGATGAAATCTCAACGCACTGTTTTGTGCGACATCTTCTCCCTTTAAGCCATCTGGACTTCGTGAAAGCACGTCTCCTTCAGTGAGCTTATTCACATCTCTTTCACAGAGGTCTTCGTTGTCTGTGTCGTTAAAATCAAAAGCCTCCATTAGATTAAAGTTAACCTCCATCACCTGTTCATCTGGATCACAGTCTTTGCCAAGCGCACTTAATTCCTCCTTTCTAATTCCGATTTCGGTCCATGTTACGTCCACAGAGAGCTCTGAGTCACGAGGCACTCTTTCTGAATTTTGTCTTGGCTGCAGCTCACTTTGCAACTTCCCAGATGAGTTCTCCTTAAAACCGTTAGACACTGGATGCTCCCTGTATCCGGAGAGAGTTTTGTCAAAGGCGACTGGACTTGCTGAACATGAAATGTCACCTAAGGACGGGAGAAACCGACTGTCGCTCACTCTACTTACGGTGGATTCAGGTAGGAAGCAACTACTTGTATTGTGGGGATCTCGTAAATCTTGACTTAAATTATTTGCCTTTTCGTCACGTCTCTGCCTCGTGACTTCTCCATCGCAAGGTCGGTCAGCTGAATTTAGAAGCGTTTCAGCATTCCATTCCTTTTGATCATTTACGGATCCCTTCGTGAAAGGCAGGCGCTGAGTATTTTGAACGTGTCTTTCGGCAGGGTTGCCTGAAAAAGCAGGTAGGATTGTGCTTTTTTGGTTATATAAACTATCTGCGTTTTCCGATGCCTGAAACTGAGAAAGACCATCTGTGACTTCAGACGTCGTTTGCTCTCTGCATCCATACGTTGGTTTAGACTTCAAGAGAGCTATTATCTGCGCTGTGCTCCTGATGTTGCGTGACACTGCCCCGAGACCGGCTGTTCGACTGCTAGATTTGGCGTGCCCAGTCATTAGAGGAGAATCTGGCTTCACAATGGACTCATCAGAGTTTTGCTTCTCTGTCTCCTCGCATCTGTCAAGAAATGGAGCTGAAAGCAACGAGGAGAGAGACATGTGCTCTCTATCGTTATCCGTACGTGCATCTTCGAGAAAGTCTGCGGATGGATTTGTTTCTGCATCTTTCTTGCAAATCGTAGAAAATAACGGAGAGGTAATGTAAAACTTGGATGGAAAAGTACCCCGACACTGCTTAGGCAAAGGCAATAGTGCTGGGTTTTCTCCATCTTCCGCTGTTGATATTTTCTTTTCAATTTGGCGTGGTCCTTGGAAACCCTAGGAGAGAAATTTAAAATTAATTCTACGCAGAAATCAACTTCACATTTTGTAATCCAATGTTGAAAATAGGGCACGCTCCATAAAATATATTCTGATCAAGCGGCACGTGACAATTCTACAGGCGTACAGAAATAATCTCAAGCCCTTGCGATTTTCACTGCACCCTTAGCAATAGCAATCTTGCTAAACCAAACAGATTTAGTAAACCCTGGAAAAAAAATAGCTACCGGTAACATGTTCTGGCTTAGAGTTCAAAAAAAACCAACAAACAAACAAAAACCAGTTAAGACATTATCTATATATTTCCCATTCATTAAAATATGTGCATTTTGTGTTTTAAAACACACGTTAACATCAGACATAACCCGCAAAACAAAGACGTACCGTAAACTTCCTTTTCAAGCCGACAGACAGATGTCTTGGAGGCAGAACACCAGGTTTTACACCATTTCTAGCCACTGCTGGAGTTTCTGCTTCCCTTGGCTGATCTTCAGAAGATTTTTCATTCACTTTTACTGCTTCAACTGTGATCAAATATCGTTCGCTTTCTAAATCATCTCCAGCATTCACCTAGAAGAGAGAATGCAGCAGTGTGCATATAATAGTTCTATACAAGAAAGTTACATGTAAAAATTTATGCCCAGTATATCACAGCTGCCATATAACTATTTAGATGAAAATACACATGTACTAGGAAGCGTTAGCACTTAGCTTCAAGTTATGCTGTCATGGTTTAGCCTTACTCAATGTATCACTGTAATACACTGCTTTTACCCACAAGGAATAGAATTCCCTAAAACCTCTATGTTGGTTCTGGAAAAACAAAAAATAGAAGCTGTTTTCGTTTTCCATTATTTGCATCGTGGTAGACTTTCATATCCAAAATAAAAAAACCCTAAAAAACCCCCAAACACTACCTTAAGTACCGAACAAGAGTTTGAAATGCTTCCTGAAACACAAACCGCAATCAGGCATAAAAATAAGAAAAGCTCCGAACAAAATATACCTGAGATTTTATAAAAATACTCTCCAGACATTGTCCTTTGTCATCAAACAAGACAGCCTGCAATGAAAAAACCAGAATTTTAAATAACTAATTTTATTTTACAGATCAACTAGATCACCACTGACGATCCAGCAGCAGCAAATGATATTAAATCCAACGGTATTAAATCCGAGTTGTTCACCTTATTTCCACCAGTTCTAATCCTCAGAGTTCCATCTTGCCATGTTTTTGATTTTTTCAATTTTTGGTGAGTATATAATACCTGTTTTCAATGTGTAAAGAGTTGAAATAATTAAGTAAGAAAATGTTTAAGTAACACAGCAGCTACAGTGTCTTTTAATTTATTTCTATTTAATTGTACAGAGCGTTAAATATCACTTACAGTAAATTCTTGAGAAGCCATTGCTTTGGCAAAACAGTTATCCAACAGCTTATTTCATAAATATTCACATCTTCATACAGCTCGAGAGACAGAGAAACGTTCCAAATCCGCCAGAGTCGTGAAGCAAATGCATTGACAAAAAAACCAGATGTCATTTCACTTCAATTTTTTCCTCAAAAGAAGAAAGCCAGATGCAAGACAACGTCAAAACAGGGGGATATAGCTGATGGGGGCATTTTGAAGAGAAACTTGGAAAATAACTGAACACAAAGACTACTGGTAAAAAAAAAAAAATAGCATTTTGATAGATGCCAACATACTTTCTAAATTCCTGGGGAATTCATTCATTTAAATGAGTGGCTAGCAACTCTGAGAACACCAGGGATCATAACGCTATTCCGAACTAACAAATTATCCTAAATGCATTTACTCGCAGAAAAAAAACAACCCCAAAACCGTAGAAGCTACGAACAGAATAATTTTGTCACAGGTTTGTTAGCTCTAGACTCGGTCATGCACGCTTAATTCACGTTCAAGGTGACTGACGCTCAAGATCAGTGACCCGTGAGGTCAAGCCTCTTTACATCTTTACAGTTAGCTCACAATAACTTTTCAAACAGCCTTTGACGATGAAACCAGGAACTAATCGTTACAAAAGCAACTCGTCTCCAGCGGCTGCGACTTACCGCCGTACGTACCAGCTTATAACATTTGGTCGGCGCCGCGATTCGCGTCCGCGTTCGGAGAGCTCGGTCCGTTAACGGCACCGCAGCGGAGACGCTCCCATGGGATGAGGTAAGACTGTCAGCTGTTGGCACGCTGGGTGATTTGCGACAACAAAAAAAACGGTTTATGTGAGGAAAAAAAGAGCAATTCACGCTGTTTCGTAAGGCTGCCGCCTTCTCAGCGGTCCCCGGGTGGGTGTAAGGTGCCAAACCTGGGAGACGGAGCGCCTCAGAGAACAGGGAAGGACTGTCGGGAGCAGCGGGGTGCACGCAAGCCCTTAGCATAACGCAACGCGGAATGACGTGAGAACAGGGGGGGAACAGGAACGCCGCTCGCTATCGGCGCGCATCTGCTGCGTCCGCTTGCCCCGCACAGCCGGGATAGGCCCTGTAAACCTTTTTCAGCGCATCAGCCGTAAACATT